CTGGGGGACTAAGCTGTTGCCCACAGGTGTGAAGGAGCAGATGTGTACTGCCCGGAACAATGCTGCTCTGAGTAGCTGCCACTCTCAGCCCGTGGAAGTTAATATACCTTCCTTAACAGAGCCATTATCTCATAGCAATCCTGCCTTTGTGCAGAGCTGTGCAATATCCCAAGCCGCTCACAGACAGCAAGGCATTGGCCTCTCTCAGAGATGAGCTCAATGCTTTGCTCTGCTTCTATCTCTGCAGTGCCTCGGGGCTCTCTGCTCCAGTGCCTTTCCATAATCCATTCTCTGCACTGCAGCAGAAAGACTCCCTGTCACAAAGCAAGCTGCCCGTTCCCTCAGTCCCTGATGCTCAGATGCTCTCCCTGCACTTAGAATAAGGTCCATGTCAGCAGCACTACCCATGAAACCCTGGTAGTATGATCCCAGCCAACCTCCCCCTTTTCGTTCCTTTATGCTACTGCTCATGCTGATCCCCTATATGGGGACACCTTTGTGTCTCCACCCTGAAACCCCCTGTCACTACAGGGCCAGATGCCCTTGCTTTGGTTTTCTGACTTCTCCTTGACTCTTAAGACCTTCAGAGAATACATTCCCCCTAACCATGCATGCACTTGTCTATGCCCGGACTGTACCAGGCAGATCTCTGTCACAGTACAGCTTCCTCAGAAGGCTGTCAGCTCTCATGGTGCAGGGCTATTGCATCTTGACTTGGTGACTTAGCACTGTACCCATTGTCTAGTAGTTGCTCAATAAATGACCACTGTAGCATTATTTCAAGAAGCCTGCATTTGCAACTAAGGTATTTCTCTGAGGCTTTAAAAGATTTGTCCTGAATATAAACTATTAAATAAGATACAGTGACTAACCTTGATTGAATTAAGTACTTCCTGGGAGTTTAGTAAGGCAGACCCCTGGGTGTGTGAAGGAAGGTAGTGAGGGCACCCATAGAAGGAACCAATTTTTTTTTTTTTTGGTTCATCGCAGTATGACATTAGTGACATATGTTGAAAGGTAGGGCTTAGGGTCTGGCTGGATAAAGTAGGTCTCTGGGGGTCTTCCTGGAGGGCTTTATCTTGCTTGGCCTCTTCCTGTATGCTGTATGATCTTTTCTTGACTTTCAAGAAATGAAGAATGCTTCTGCCACCATGATGTTCTGCCCAAGCACATGGGACATTTTGAAAAGACAAGGCAAACTAACTTCCTCCTATTAATTGTTTCTGTCAAGTGTTTTGGTAACATGGACAAATAAACCCTTTCCTCCCAAGTTGCTTTTGATCATGGTCTTTATCAGAGCAATAAAAAAACAAAGTAAAACACACACACACACACATACACACACACACACACACAGTAGCTGATTGAACAGACAGAATTACCAGCTTTGCTTAAATCTCTTTTAAACTACATGCAGCAGCCATTTTTGTGTGCACTGAAATGTAAGTGTGTTTCAGGAGCACAGTACTGTTGTGGTCAAACCGTGAAACTTGGCGTTGGCAATGGACCTGGCTATAGGCTGTACCATTCCACCAGCAGAGGTTGGCAAATGGATTCATATAGTAGTTAATTTCTACTTAGAGTTTAAAGGCTTAGAAGCACATAGCCCATCTTAAAGCTCCCCTGTGGTCAGCAATAAGAGCTCCAGCCCTTAGGACAGCAGCTAGACCAGAGGACTGATGAGGCATTATCTTTTCATCTTTTCACCAGACCTGAAGCAATGCTGGCACTCTCTAAGAGCAGGAGATCCTCTGAACGTGAAAAGACAGAGTCTAGAGGTCAGAAAAAATCTTATTTCTAGCAATGGATTTGCTGCCAGCCAGCTGTGGAAGCAGCTGTAGAGCCCCTACCTACAGGCACAGTGGCAAAGTTTGGTTTGCTAGTTTACTGTTGATTTCAAACATGATAATGAATGGGAAGACTATGACATTGCTAAAAAGGCTGTCCATGGAAATGTGTGTTGTTATCTCTGCAACTGCAGGCTACCATCCTCCCAAGTGACCTCAGGTGAGCACCATGGGGAACCCTGGAAGGTGTTATGAGGTTAAAACTCCAGATCTTTTAGGGACCAAAGGACCTTACACTGGTATAAAACAATGAGTAGTATTTAACCCCCTATGGCGTCTATTCTGGGCAAGAATAGAGGCCAGAACCCATGATTCATTCATGTAACTTTGGCTTTTATGTCTCTGCATGGATGATTAGCAGTGAGTAGGTCAAAAGGAGACCCTTACTGTATAAGGATTTGATTCCTCTGACATGTGCTGTGGTTATTAGCTTTTTTGATAAAATGCCTCCATCGGATTGGCCCATGCAGTATTTCCTTGATTAATGATAGATGTTGAAAGGCCCAGCCCGCTGTGTATGGTACCAGTGCTGGGCAGGTAGACCTGGGTTGTCTGAAAAAAACAAGCTGAGCAAGCCATGGAGACAAGCCAGTAAGTAGCATGCCTCCATGCTCTAGGCTTCTGTCTCTGCCTCCAGGTTCCTGTGTTAAGTTCCTGCTATGAATTTCCTTCATGATAGACTGTCCCATTCCTCCCCAAGTTGCTTTTGGTAGTGGTTTCTTTATCACAGCAATAGAAAGCAAATGAATACACACATGGATGGGAACAGGGATAGTTCTTGGAACTCAATTTTCTGCCTGTTTACCAATGATTAACTGCAGCAATCAATTGTGTCAAAGTTCAGATCAACTGAATCCTTGGGGATGTTGGTGAGACAATGCCTTGTTCTTGAGTTGATGGTGACTGTTATAGGAACAGGTTGATCTACTGCATAGGATGTCAGGGACCATTATCTTCCCTAGATGTCCCTCTAACCCTTTCCTGCACGCCCAACCCCAGCCCAGCTACTCCAGCAGTCACAGAGAGGGTGTAGGCTGGGAGCTATAACCCCAACTTATAGCCAGAATTAGGTTAAGGGTTTCACACTTTAAACATTCAAACCCAGAGACAACAACCTATGGAGTGGTTGTCAATGAATGATCTCCATTTTATAAATAAGACCGTTTTGGAGAAATAGGTAACAGCAAAGAACACCAAATGTTTTTTCTATCCCATCCTCGTGTTACATGTCACCTCTCCCCTCCGAGGTTCCTCACTATGTTCCCAACTCACCCAGCATCTGCCCTTTAAAGAGCTATAGGTTGGGGGCTGGAGAGATGGCTCCAGAGGTTAAGAGCACTGGCTGCTCTTCCAGGGGTCCTGAGTTCAATTCCCAGCAACCACATGGTAGCTCACAACCATCCATAATGAGATCTGGTGCCCTCCTCTGACCTGCAGGCATACATGCAGACAGAACACTGTATACATAATAAATAAATAAGTCTTTTTAAAACAAAGAGCTGCAGGTTGGTTCATTGACACCATTTGACGAGGATAATTTGTGATTTGGTTTTAGTTTGTTGATTATCAAGAATCTGGTAGGTGCTTACTTCCTTTGTGTTGTGTGTGTATAATCATATGTGTACAGAGATCATAGCAGGACACTGGGTGTCCTCCTCTGTCATTCTCTCTCATTCCTTTAAGACAGTGTCTCCTGGTCCTGGACAGGTGCTTGTGACATACCTAGCATGGTTTATTGTTTGTTTTGGTGGGGTTTTTCCTTCAAACATGGGTACTAAAGATCTGGGCTTAGTGTTTCTGTTTGTACAAGTGCTCTTACACACTAAGCCATCTCCCTAGTCCCTGAGAACATTTCTAGACGTTTTGATGTGCATGGCTGTGTAGATTATGGTATTTTTAGAATGCTTCTTTCTCTCTGGTCTTTTCCTTTAAGTTGACTGGACAGGGAGGGGTGGCAGGTGAACCTGGGAGCCATCCTGAGCAACAAAAAGCTGTGGGTGGGGGGTGCCTGTCCTCCTAAGCTTAGATAGCATACCGATGGGTGTAATATCTGCCTTTGCTGTGTTCAGCCGCAGAGAAGGAATTATGGTTTCTATAACCTGGAAGATGATACAAGTAGTAGGTGAAGAGTCTGGTAGCCACTCAGATGTATAACCTGTGGCTCTCAACCATCTCCAGCAAATATTAGAGACAAGTGTTGCATTTTCCTGAAACTATCATCCGCTAAAATTCACTTCCCAGCAAGGTCAGAGCCGATAGCCGCATACATAAGAGCCTGTAGAAGCTGAATTAACACAGCAACACATCTTAGGATATTTTCTTAAAATTATAACTTTTACAATACCTTTTGGCATGACATTTGCACAATGAGTATTGCATCTGATTCATCAAGAGGAGACAGAGAATACCAGGTGTATATGGAGAGTGCACGGTACCTGCCAGACAATGTTCAATGCATTCTGAATATTTAGATTTATTCATGTTTTATTAGCATCTAATAATCAACATAATAGTGGGTTTCATTGTGACATTTTCATGCATCTTTATAATGTGTCTCCTGTCAGCCTCTCACTGAATGACCCTTTCAGCACAGCACTGAGAGACTGGCACTGTTGTTATCTGTTTTATAAGGAGGGGCATTGTGTTTTGGTAACACAGCTGATAATTGTAAAGAAAGAATTTGAACTCAGGTGAAAAACATATAGAAAGAATTCAAACTCTGGTAGCTGAGCTCTGGAGCCCTGCTCAGAGTTGCTACAAACCTGCAACTCATACCCATTTGACTTTAGACAGACCCTGCACTGGATTTGTTGAGAACCCAGCATGTGTCTGGGTAACCAACATGTGTCTGCATGCACTGTTTTCCCTATATTAATTTACCTAGCCCTCACCATTTTGGGGGGCTGCAGTAGTGGCTACCTAAGGTACTCAGGTAAGGTGACTTGCATGGAGTTATAGTTTTCCTCACTGCCTTTGGTTTGGAGTGTCACAAGTGAGTGCATTCCTGCTGTACAAAGTCAACTGAGGTCCCAGGCACAGGCTTCTGTTTGCTTTGCTGAGCTGTTTGCTCTGTGGGAATAGAACTGAAAGTAGCATTAGTGAGTAGGCTTTTCGGATATTTGGGAACCTCACTAGAGCTCCTGTCACACAGACATGAAGACAGGGCCCCAGGCTTGGAGGATACTGGCAAAGTCATGTCTTCTCTGTGTTGCCCTGGGATGTCTCTATTTCTCTGGTTCTAGGTAAGTAATGGGTACAAATGATTCCCTGATCAGTTTCATGGCAGAGAGCATAAAACTGCCAAATGCTGACCAGCTCTGCCACATGCCTGTGGGCAGAGGAACATCTCTCGAAGCAATTTGCATGTGTCTGATAAAATAAAATCAACAACTCCCTCTGAATTATTGTGGACCCAAGTGGCCAGCTTCAACAAAAGTGCCTGTTAAAGAACTGTCATGTTTAAATGGATTTTGTCATGCTGAGAAGAATGGGATACATGGTCTATATTCTGGATGAAGTGCTGGTCTGGCTCCTTATGCAAAAGAACATTTATTATATATGAAAAACAAACCAGGTCACATGAATGATCTTAATAAATGACACTGTCTTGCTCTACGTTCCCAGTAGCCTAGTGTGTCTGGAGAGAGTGGGTCTCTCAAACTCTTCCTCTCCTTTCTCCTCTTCCTCTTTTGCAGATGTTTGTTCCAAGAACTAAATCATGATTTTAGTTCCTCTGTTTCCATTCATAGGATGTGAAAGAGCTAAGGAAAATAATCTTAATCTGGGCTCATACTTGGGTTCCAGAGAAAGATGTGCTAGAACCTTGGCAATCTGAAGCCCCTCATAGTGCCGGAGCAGTTCCCAGCATGAGATGTGGACGCTCTCATGATCACTGCTATGGGAAGAGGGAGGTAAAGGTCTTTCTTTACTCTCCAAGTGCTCCCTGATAGCAACCTCTCAACAGTGTGAGCAGCAGCACGCGGCCCATGTGCCTACTGTTCTAAGCTCTGCAAAATGCTAATCAGCCTGTTGAGCACATTCCCAGGGATCAGGATTGTGAATCATCACCCACCAGACAATCCAGCATTCACCCTTAGAATTAGCATGACCCTCACCTTTGTGGAGAGATCAACTGTGCTGCCAAGGCTTTCCATGCATTTACTTGTGGGCACAGAGAACCCTGCAGTGCCCAGTGAGCTGTGCCTGGAGGAGAGGGCTCACACAACCCTCCCAGAGGCAGCATGTCCCTGCACACAGCTGCTTGTTGATGACAGAGTATCCAGAGCTGAACAAGACCCCAGACTCATGTTCTCAGGGCATGGCAGTGTGTGAGCAAACACAGAGACATGTAAGAGGTGGGGCCGGGACAAACAACACTCAAGAGAGTGAGAGTTGCTGGTTCTCCTGAGCAGGGGTCCTGGCAAGGGAAACAGGATGCCTCAGGCATAGGTAACAGCATACACAAAGGCATGGAGGTGTGAGAGAGCCTGGCCTGTTCCCAAGGCTACAGCTACATTTCAATCTCATTGAGTAGACAACAAGGTTGGACCTGTGAGGAGAAGCAGGAATAAGTAGCTAGGGGATGCAAACCATATCCTTCAGGTATAGAAGGGCTGGAGTGAGGAGGTAGCATAATAGGATGCTTTTATTGGCAAGTTATCTTATGGGTAGGGGCTGGAGTTCCACCAGGTGAGAAGTACAAGCTATGAAACTTATAACTATCATATGAGGAGAGGGTGGCCCCTTGTTCCCACTCTGTGGAAGGACAAACTGATTCCCAGGTGAGAAGAGACTGGTTCACACTCAGTGAGCCTCACCCCTTCCCTGACGCCTGGCTGAATATTCTGCTCTATACCCACGATTCCTACACACCAGTCCAGAGCACAATATCCCATTGAGTATCAGACACAAAAAAGCAAAATAAAGGTATTTTGTGTAGGAGCAGAAGGTGTTGCAACTTCCTTCAGATCATAGAGTTTGTCATTCCATTTGCTCAGGTCACATTGTCACATGGCCTATTGATCAGTATTGATTGTCACTCTGTTCCAGGCATTGCTCTCATCGTCACAGTCTATCACTTACAGTTGTAGAGAGAAGGAAAACTGAGGCTTGAAGACTGTGTGACTCTCCAGGCTATTCAGTCCATTGTTTGAGCATCCTTTCTGGTTTCTGCCTCTCCTTAACACCCCCTGCCCAAACCCATCTGACTTGATGGACACTCGGGACGTTTCTCTGGGAGACACATTTGCTCCTTTGAGATGTTGCTTTAAAGTCCATGTTAGCAACAGCAAATGACAGAGAGAAATGGGAAACCTTTTCCCCCAGAAACCACCACCCACCCCCAGCAAAGTGGAAGATGCTGTTTGTACAGGGCTGCAGTTGCCGAACAAATTGTGTGTGACAAGAAAGTTGTTGTGTCAGGGCATTTCCACAGAAAGCCAAAATATATTGATGTGCCCCATCCATATAAGCTGAGGGCTGGAAATTTACTGCTGACCTAATCCTGCTGTGCTTGATGGATCCATCTTTATTTTGATCAGAGAAAGAAAGTAGGAGACCTGGGCCCACAGCAATGCGTTTTAAGGCTGGTAACACTTCTGTGTACCCCCAAGAAAGATACAACCTTGCCAGCACTTCCTCAGAAGGAGTGCATTTCCAGTGAAGTATAAAACACTGCTTATACTTACATATTTTTTGTAATTGCAAAATGTTGTTAGGATATGGATGTGCCTCAAATGACTCAATGCCATGCAAGAGATGTTCTAGGAGATAACATCCAGATGAAAGCAGCAAACTAGGTCCCTTTAAGAATCAAAGTGGACCTAGCTGATGTGGGTGGGCCAAGAAGCACCCACATCCGAACAATGGTGCAGAGGAATGCACGAGGTCAGAGCAACGCACAGGAAGGTAAAGCTGCACACTGCACATATGGGGGAAATCACTTGCAAGACTCTGGAGCGACACACAGCACGTCTGTGACAGTTACGGCCTCTGGAGAGGATGGTAAACAAACAGGACTGGGGCTGTTGCAATACTCAGATGCCCAATTCCTGGAGATGCCTTTTAGTTAAAGACCATGCAAGTGTGGCAAAAGATTGACAGGAGTCAATGTGGGTGTGGGGCCCCGAGTGCTTATTAATTTGCAGTACTTCTCGGGACAGATTTATGTTACAGACGAGTTGGGCTTTGCATTCGTGTCTGTTAATTGCATGTCGGGCTTTCATTCTGGCACTTCCATGCATGCTCATAATATACTTTGACCACATGCACCCCCTCTATTACTCCTCCTTATCTACTCTGCCCATATGGAGGCATCTCAGCAGAAGCCAAGCCAGTGGATTTGTTTCCATAGAAATTCCTCAGGGTGGAAGGTGCACATAGCAGAGTGCAGAGGCCTCGGTTGAACCTGTGGTTTGTGCAGCTCCGTGCCATTCTCAAATTCAAAATGTGACTTGACACTAGCCTTTCTTTTAGATTTGCATTTTGTAGCACTAATGAACCACACTTACCCAATGTGATTTACAAAGATACTATTTATTCTGCTGATTATTTCATTATATTGCCACCTCCATAATGGAAATTGGGTGTAAAAATGAGAGATCTGGTGGTTATAACTACTTCTTGCGAGTTGCCTCTGTAAGGCATCATCTCGCCCCTGAACAGGCTCTCAAATCTTGGAGAGGAAAATAATTATGACTCTTAATAACGACTGTGCAAGTTACTTATCTACTTGGTCTCCACTGTGGCCCCAAATTGGGGTGATACTTGGAAAAAACAGTGTAACTGCTTTGTGGTTGAAATAGGAAGAAGGAACCCCGCAGAGCTGTCAAATACATACTTAGGAGAAGCCAAATCACAGACAGTATTGTTTTGTCAAACCCGAGCAAATTAGTAGATAGGAGCCCATCAGAGGGCCCCTGCTGGTGTGCAGCATCCTGCCTCAGTAACCACTTTCAAGTACCCACCTGTGGTTTCCAGTAGAGTCTTTGACCTTTTGTTAAAGATCCAACTTTACTAGGCAATTGATTTTTGCCAGTCTCTGGGGCAGCCATGGGAATGGAGCTCACAGTAGTTAATATTATCCTCCTTTTAGGACTTTTGCCAAGTGAGAATGTGCTGTTAATGACCTTGTTTGGAGTGACAACCTGTGTGTTTGACAGTGGAAGCTTTGTGATGCTCCCCCTAATGACTTAATCTTAGAGACAGGGATGAAACAGGCCTTGCAGACACTTATAGAGATAGTGATGGGAGGTGACTGGAATGGATGCAGGTTGGATCTGCTCCCAGACGCCATGGGGCAGGGGCATAAAGCATACTCAGCATCAGACAAAGCTAGGCTGAGATCCCAGGACAACTATATCCCAGGTCACTGCAGCAGACATATTGTGTCACTCTGAGCCATTTCACCATCTGTCCAGGTGACCGCTGACTGTGTTCCTTAGCTACCTTCTAGGACATCTGTGGGATGGGATGAAAACATCTAGTACAATGATTAGGTCTGACATCCTAGGCCCTCAATAAATCTTCATTCCTTTCTTCTTTGTACCTCCTTTTTAGCTTAAGAAGTTCAAGTTCCAGGTGTTCTTACACTGTTATACATACTCATGGGAAGAGATTAAAAAAAATAATAATTATAGTACACCTTCCAAGTTCTAGGTAGGGAAACTGAGGTTCATACAGATGAAATAATGAGTTGATTCATTCACTTTGGCCCAGCTGTGTGCCAGGGACTCAACAAGTAGCCTGCCTTACCTTTTAGACATATTTCAGTTCTCATGCTGTGTGTCTGCTCTGAATGTGTGACTCCTCTGCCCCCTGCCCCATTTCCACACTTCACTCTATACAGGTGCTTCTTGACCTATATAGTTCAACCTGATGCTGGCTCCCCCCGCTCCCTAAGCACATTTCATGTTGTGGTCGTTTGGATGAGAATAACTCCCATAGGCACAGATGTTTGAATACTTGGCCCCAGCTTGGTGGTGATGTTTGGGTAGACTCAGGGAGCAAGGTATTGATGGAGTACATCTCTGTGGCCTAGTTTTGAGTTTTCAAAACTTCATGCCAGTTTTGTAGCTTTTTCTGCTTCCTGCTTGTAGTTCAAGCCCTCAGCTTTCACTGCAGATGCCATGTCTGCTGCCTGCTGCCATGCTTCCCCACTCTAGTGGACTCTCAGCCTTCCTGAGATGTAAGTCAAAGAAGCCCATCTGTTGGTTGCCTCGGCCATGGTGTTTTATCACAATGGTAGAGCAGTAACTGATACACTTGGCCTGCTTCTCTCAAAAGAGGCCAGTCACTTCCCTGCCTCACCTTCTCATGATCACATCTGTTTCAGCACCGACCTCTCTTGCTGAGTTCAGTCCCAGGTAAGAACTGTGTCCCATGTGAGTTTATGTGGCTATTCCATGGGCACCTAGGGCTTAGCCTGCCTCTACCAGCTTCCCCAACATCTCTGTCCTCCTATATCATTCAAATAGGATACCAACATCAACCTAAACTCCTTCCTTCCTTTCATACCCATCTAGCCCATCCATTTGTCAAACCACTTTCTATCACTTTCACTTGAGAGCTTACTCAGCCCTTCCTCCACTCTGGACCTGCTGTAGTTCAGGTTCACATCATGCATGGGGACTCCTACACCAGCCTCTCATCTTCTCCCCAGCCTCCAGACTCAACTAACTCATACCTAACCTCCACAAAGCTTCAAGTCCAGCTCTGGCCATAGGGCCTGCATGCAATTAAAAATTGCTAAGATGCAAGACATGTTTCTCTGTTGAGCAGACCCTGTGTCACATGCCCAGAAGCCTGATGTCTTTGGTATCAATTATTCTTGGCACATGTTTCATGGATATTTAATATGAAAAGGCATCGTATAGTGCAGACCCCTCAATCTTCAGAAGATAAAAAAGGAGGCCCAGAAATAGGGAATACATTTGCTGTGACTGAATTCCCTGTGTATATCCATAGCACATAAGAGTTTAAGTGCTCACCTAGTGACTATGATTTATAATCTAGAAAGAGCTGTGTAAGAGGATACACTTCAGCCACTGTGTGGAGGGGAAACATGAAGCTCACACAGACCAGAAATCAGATTGCACAAGCAGCTGAGATACTGGCTTATAAGAGATGTTCAGTAGTCTTTACCACCATAGTCCTAATGTCAGGTGCTTCCTGGGGACTCAATACATATTAGTTACATGAATTAACAAGCACTGAAATGATAAACCACCTACCTTGCACTCGTGGTCTGGTCTACATTTCTGAGATGGGTAATTGATGGATGAGAGGGAATGAATGTATTTCCTTTAGGATATGCAACTCTTCTCTTATGATGGTTTTTAGAGGGGAGAAGCCAGATTTCTTTGACGCAAATGCAGCCAACCAGAGCCTTGCTAAGAGCAGACGAGTACGGAGTGTGGATATCACCCCAGCGCCTGTTGACTGTGAGCTGTCCAGCTGGTCCTCCTGGACCGCATGTGACCCCTGTCAGAAGAAAAGGGTAAGATCCCAGGTCTTTGGTGAGCACTAAATTTCTGGGCAGGGGTGGGAGGTAAAGAAGGAGACTATAGTCTTCAACAGTTCTTGCAGAGGTGCTGATGGTGGTGCCTGGCCATAGATTGTACTTTAAGCTTCAAGCTGTTAGAATGACTTCAAAGGGCAAGCAGGTGTTCCCTTTGGTATTACAGTGTTTTTCACATAGCTGTCTTTGCAGCATCCTGCCTCTGACCTACTCTTTCTACCCATCCTTCACAGCATAGCCAGGGAAACTACCACTAAGCCACATCAGACCAGTCTTTCCCCAATGATCCCTAAGGATCAAAGCCAGACTTCGTGTCACCTAACTGGGCCTCATCTCAATGCTATATCAGCCCTAGGAATCTTCCAACTGTGTCACTCCCCCTGCATCTCTGTTCATGTTGTAGTCTCAGCCAGCAATGACCTTTCCCACGGCCTTCACTTTCTAGCCTGACTCAGAACTTGATTCCCTGCTTCTTGAGACCTTTTCTGTGAAGCATTACCTGACTGCTCACCAGCCCCAGCTCCACTTAGATAAAGCAACTTTTATATGCTTCCCTAGCCCCTCCCCCCACTATATCCTAGCGTATATCATACTGTGGTTTTTATCATTTACTGCCATATACAGAAAACTTGTAAGTGTGCATGCATATAACAGGAGCTTCTCAATGCTCTTATATTTGAGCCCATACTGCTTTCTGACATCTTTGCAAGGAAAAAAGAGGTGGCTGTCACATATTCCGTTAGACAGGTAAGTGATGACTTAGAGCAGGTAAGTGTCTTCTTGGAGCCCTCTAGTAGCAGATAAGCCTAAGCCCAGGCCATGGGGTCCTTCCTGATTTTTCCATGAGTAGAGCTTGTCTCCATGTTGCCTATCCTTCATGTCCCTTGTGATGGGAGAGCTGACCCAGGACCCCAGCTCTAAACAAAGCAAATGTGCCAGCAAAGAGAGGTGGGGGGGGGTTGCCCTTCCTTGGCTCCTTGGGAACCCAGACCTATCATGGCAAAGACTCTAAAGAGGCTGAGGAAGTCAGCCCAAGGCAATTGCGCAGCTAATTGGATCAATGGGGAGAGCCAAGCACTATCATTCTGTTCCCAGAGTAGGTTTCTTGCTGAAGTTATCGACATTGATCCAATTATCTGGATAATTGCTTCATCTGCACCATAAACCAGAAGAACTGAGCAGGAGCCTGCTAGCCAGAGCTACTCGCTGTTATTCACTGTAGACTTCCTCACCTGCCATCGGGCCTGTCTGCAGGCTCCATGGCTGGGGCTCAGTGAAACCTCTCAACCCAGACCTGGAGGTGCACTTCCTCCAGTGTTTCCGACTGTCCCAACCCTGCAAACTTACTTTGCCTTAGGAGCCTGGGAATAGTCTTCTGAGAGTGTCCTTGTGTATGTGTGGCTTTATTTTTATCCTTTAATTTACTTAGAGTATTTGTGCTTGTTTGTGGAGTATAGCTTTATAATTTGATACCTATATACACTGGGTAATGATCAAATCACTCAAACATAATCGTTATCTTCTGCTGACATGTAGAGAAACTTCAGTATCAATGCTCTAGTACTGTGAGCTATACAATTATTGTGTACTTATCTTCTGTATTATAGAACATTAGAACCCCCATGCATAGTGTTTTGATAAACAATAGCCCCCTTTGCTGCCCTCCTTCCTTTCTAGCCCCTAGCAACCTCTAGTCTATTCTCTACTTTGTGATGAACTATTTTTGTTTCTACAAATGAGTGAGAACCTGTGATTGGCTTTCTCTGCCTAGCTTATTTCCCTTAACATGATGTCCTCAGATTTCATTCATGTTGCTACAAATGGCTCATATTCCATTGTTAATTATACCATTTTAATCCACTCATCTCTTGATGAACATCTTTGTTAATTTTTTATTTTTGCTATGGTGAATCTTGTAATAAGTATGGGAGTTCTGGTCTATCTTTGATAAAATGTTGTCATTACCTTTGGATATATACTCAGAATTTAGACTGTTGGCTGATATGGTAAATGTATTTTCAGGGTTTTTAAATTAAAATAATTCCTTCTTCTTTGTCTTCATCCTCCTCCCTGTCCCTCTTCCCCTCCTCCTCTGTCCTTTGGAGAGTATCCAGTACTGTTTTCTGTAATTCATGATTGTTAGTATTCAGGCATCTGTACTGGCCTGTCCTTGGGGTTCTGACAGGATACACACTCTGCTGCAGCCACTAAGAGCACCACCTGTACATATTCACTATGTTTCCTTTTAAAAGGGCCCTGCCCTACCTCTCATCCTTCTCTCTCTCTTTCTCTCCATCTGTTCCCCCCTCTCCTGCTGCTCCTGTCTCCAGAGACCAGTCTCCCCCATCCCTTTCCCATTTTTATGATCCCTTTCCCTAGTTAAAAAAACACCCTCTGCTTGAACCCTGTCAAATGGCATCTTCCTCTCTTTCACTGCTTTTTTTACATTGCAACAATAATGGTTATGTTAAGTTACACTCCTGTTGACAGCATGTAAGACCTTCCACGTCTCAGCATTTCTGCTATTTGTATATTATCATTTAACTATATCTGTAGAGAGATCATGGATCATTTACCCATTTAAAACTCAGATTGTTAGAAATTTTTCTGTTTCTTGAACTCCATATATATCCTGGGTACTAGCTTCTTGACAGTTTGTCTCTTGACATTGTTGATTATTTTCTTTGCTGTACAAATACTTCCTAGTATGATCTAACCCCATTTGTCTAGCTTTGCTTTTGTTACCTATACTATCTAAGATCTTGTTTGCTCTGTACTTCAGTATCAAAGTTTCCCCTATGGTTTATTCCAGTAGTTGCATAGTATGGGACCTTACATTATGTCATTGACCCATTTTAAGTTTTCCTACTTTTGTTTTTTGTTTGACTTGTTGTTTTTGTTTGTTTGTTTTCCAAGACAGGGTGTCTGTATGTAGCCCTGGCTATTCTGGAACTTACTCTATAGTTCTATTGTGGAACTGGCCTTCAACTTCGATCTATTTGCCTCTGCCTCCCAAGTGCTGGGATGAGGCACTATACCTGGCAAGTTGGGTTTTTATTGCCTAGTTTCAGTCTTCTGCAAATACGTCTCTCTCTCTCTCCTCTCTCTCTCTCTCTCTCTCTCTCTCTCTCTCTCCCTCTCTCTCTCTCTCTCTCTCTCTCTCTCTCTCTCTCTCTCTCTCTCTCTCGGGCTTGTGTGTGCATGCATACATGAGAAGATCATTCATCATGCTCCATCTCCCTTTTTTGACATAGGGTCTCCCACTTGCCTGGAATCACCAAGCAGTGTAGACTCTGTGGCCAGGAAGTCCCAGGGTTAAGCCTATCTCTCCACCACTCCTGGCCTCTGGCCCACCAAGCACATACCACCACACCTGGCTTCTTAAAAGTAGGCTTTGGGGATTGAGCTCAGGTCTCATGGTTGCAGGGAAAGCACATGAACTTATGAGTGATACCCAGTTTCCAGCACCACTTATTTTTAGAGATGGTCCTCTCTAGAGTATGTGTTCTCTTTGCCTTGGAAAAAGTATCTGGAGTCACCTCTGTGTTTTCTCTCTGTGCCACCAGCCTTGTGCATGTTCGTGTATCTGCCCTGTACTTGTTGATCACTCTAACTTTGTAATGTGTCTTAAGTCTTAGGTTGTGATGCCCTTGCCTTGTTCTTTTTGCCCAGGATTGTTTTCTGGATGGTTTGTGCTTCTATATGAATCTTGTGACAACCCCCACCCCCGCCACTAGCTCTGTAAACAAGGCAATTCCTGTTTGATAGGATTGCATCAAATCTCAGATTACCTTGGGTAGTGTGGACATTTTAACGTTATTTCTTCTGACCTGGGAAAACAAAATGTCTCCTGTCCTCTTAATTTTCATTATGATAATCTTTTACTTTCTATGTTAAATTTATTTCTACCTGTCTTACTAATTTTGAGGATGTTGTAAATGGAATGATCTCAATGTCTTTTTCAGCCTGTTTATTCGAAGCATACAAAATACCACTGGATTATATCCTGCAACTTTACTGTACTTATCAGTGGCAGCAATGTTTTGGTAGAGACTTCAGAGGTTTTACATACAAGGTCAGGCTACTGAGGAACGGAACCCTTTTACCATCCCCCTTTCAATTATCTGCCTTTTACTTCTTTCTTCCGCCTGATAGTTCAGCCTTACACTTCCAGTTCTATGTTGAGTAAGCATGTCATTTTGTCCCACATTTTGGAAGATATGCCTTCAACTTTTCACCATTTTAGTATGTCCTTTGCTGTGGGTTTGTCATATATTGTATGGACATTGTATGTTTGTCATATATTGTATGTTCCTTCTGTACTTCATTTGATGATAGTTTCTTAGTTTGTTTATTGTTCTTTGTTTGTTCCTCAAAGTCTTATTTAAAGTTAATGTCTCCAAGGACAAGGGGGCACAGGTGAATGGCTGTCTTCGATTCTCTTTTGTTTCCACCTCCACAGTACAGATATAAGTAGTAATCATGCCACATGCCACTCTGAAGGTGGGGGAGTGGTACTCTACTTATTTGCCACATTCTGTATACCAAAACCTTGACTGCTAACATTAGAAAACCACCCAAATGTAATCACCTCTTTCCTCCCCCCGCCCCCGTCACCCCACCTGGCATCCCTGGTTATCTGCCCTGCTCTGCCTCTTTCCAGCTCCCCTCATGCTCCCTCTTGTACTCCTCTCCACCCGTGATGAATGTGTCTCTGGTTTCTGGAATTAGAAGATGCATCCTTTAGTCTATCAGTTTGACCAGAAACCTTCCTCTACTCAGGTTGTTCTTGGTTGTTCTTTTCTGGCCCTCTGTGTCTACCTGACATTCCTCCTTAACTTCCAGGTCTCAGCCCTGGTGTGCTTACTAGAAACCAGTCTCTGTCTCCTCCCTTTGCAATGGGGATTTCTCCATGAGATTGCCCAGTCCTGTACCCACCGCATTTATGTTGTCACTGCTGGTGCCTCCTGCCACCAGTGGTGACCCTCTCCTTTTGAAGGTGGGTCAGAAGACTTAATGATGATTAAAAACCAACCAACAGGCAAGCAAGCAAAAATACCTCTCCTTTTAAATATGAGATAAATTAATCAATATTCTCAGGATAAATGAACAAGAAGAGACAGATAGCAATATTGATTCCTAAAATAGTGGATAATAAAAAAGAAAAATAATGACAAGAAATTGGGTACCTGCTTTGTGCCAGAAAAACATGAGCTTGAGATGATATATGATAGGAATTAACATGTAATTCATAATATATAAATAATGCTAACAGATATATAATTATATCATTTAAATTCTAAATTGTACATTTAGGTAATTCATTTCCCCCAGTTTACAAATGAGTAAATTTGGACTCCAAAGACAAAGCTACTGGCCCAGCATCATGTAACTAGGAAGTACTAGCATCAGTTGGAGTTTCAGAGCACATGCTACTTCATTTATATCACACTGATGCCTTAAGCAATATGTGACAATACATGAATCACCCATTGGAATAATTAAACTGAGAGTTAGTTTATTGTTGAACTGACTATATGAGCCCCTTTACTGGTTTGTTATTCCAAAGCCCAGGACTTTTTCACACTGAACAAATCTTCAAGTACCCCAAACTCTAAGAGCATGCAGTGAGTGCAATTGGGGAAACAGTGAATTGCCAGCCTTGCATAGACCCTCAATGAATGTGGTGAAGGAAGCACAAGAATTGGGCAAGTAGCAATTAGCCAACGGTGTGCCTTCCCTGCATCCACAGATTGACTGGTGATTGTTTCTACACAATGTCCTTAGCTCCTGAGGTCGCAGAGGTCCCATCATTGGCTCACTTTGTTTCTGTCTGCTATAGTACAGACATGCTTACTTGCTCCAGCCCTCCCAGTTCCATGGGGAATTGTGTGACTTCTCTGACAAGGAAGTTGAAGACTGTGTTACCAACCGACCATGCAGAAGTCAAGTGCGATGTGAAGGCTTTGTGTGTGCACAGACAGGTATGAATGAGGCTGGGAATGGGGAGAGAAGATTGAAAAGCAAAGAGTAGCATGTGATGGTGGAGGGACATACATGTAGGGTTCATGATCAAGGTTGCAGCACAGGGAAATACCTTGCTGTAGGCCTCAAACATCCTTTTCTGTGTATAATCCATGAAAGCATGCCTATGGTAAGGTAGTAGCATTATTATCCCTATTTTGCATCCTAAGAAATTGAGACTCTGATTGTCACAAATCATTGAGCAGGTCTGTAGAGGATGTTCAGGTGAGAATCTGGAAGCTTGGCTATATTCACTGACTTTAGAAGTTAGGTGTGGTGGAGTCAGAAGTCCTGGGTCAGTCTCAATCTGTGTGATCTACAAGATCTTATTTAACCTCTTTGGATTTTGATTACAAAAATAATAATTGAGTGTTACATTAGTTACTTTTCTATTGCTAAGACTTATACAAGAAAGAATTTAACTGGGCTTACAGTTTCAAAGGGTTAGAGTCCACAATAGTAGAACAGAGGCATGGCAGCAGAAACAGCTGAGAGCTGACATCTTGATCTAAAAGCAGCAGACACAGAGAGAGTTAACTCAAAGTGTCAAGAGTCATTGGAAACTTCAAAGCCCACTGCTAGTGACATATCTCCTCTAACAAGGCCACACGTCTTAATCTTTCCCAAATAGTTCCACCAACTAGAGACCAATTATTGAAGCACATGAGCCTAATGGGGGTCATTCCTATTCAAACCACCACAAGGGTGATTTTAATACCTTACAATTTGATCATAACTTTCATGTGAAAAATGGAGGTAAAAGCTCTCTGTTACATATTAGCTTTGCTACTGCTCTCAGAGCCCTTAGGTGGAGTAAAATATGTCCAAACCTGAAACAGGTGAGAGAGTGATCACCATCACTCAGCAACGAAAGGCTTTGGAAACAATGGGCCTTGACATTTGCAGTTTTGCATCAGTGAGTCTATCATAAGTTCAAATGTGTGATGGAGTCAGTAAAAAAAAATGTTGGTTTTTCATAAAGAAGGAAAGTGAATAAAGAAGCCAGATGGGAAGATGGACAGAAGAAGGAAACAGTACACAAATGAATGATTATCTACTGCAGAAACAAGTAAAAACTGTTTTCTCAACTTAGTCACTCACCTGATCCCAGTAAATCTATGTGCTTCCGTTTCTTCAAGTCTCTGGCACAAACTGAGATACGCTGCCCTAAAGTATCTGGAGGAAGTTCTATTCATGGTACACATATGGATTGTGGTATAGAGCCTCCAAAAAACAGACAGGATTGCCAGAGTGATTTCTAGGGCTTAACTGCAAATGTAAAATTCCATCCAGCAAATCTGAGAGATTTTTTTTACAGTGTACCCAAGGACTCATAATGGCCAGTGTTTCATGGTTTTGCCTAGAGCCATAATGGCTATTCATGTGGGCTTAACTTTAAATGCCATGTAAGAAACATTTGAAGACCAGACCATTATTTTTCTGCCTTTTATAACTGAAGGACATCAGTTTAAAAAAAAGAAACGACCCAATATGTCTCAGGAAGCAGAGCCACCTGTCTTGTGGGCTTTGTCTCCTCAGGAATGCACAAATATGAAAGAAAGTGAAGTCAGTGAGAAAAAGTTGTAGGGGAAGCAAAGATGGTGGTGCTGAAGGCAATGTATGTTATGCTGCAGATGCTTAACGTGTGCCTGGCTCTCCAAAGCACTAACCCTAGCAGTGGATTCCATGATGGATTCTACTTTATTCACTCACAACTGTGTCATGGTGGATAGCTGTGATGACTTCTCAGCTTTACAGATGAGAGAATCAAGGCCAGGGATTTGGGTCATAGATGCAAGATGGTTTAACTGGTGCTATTCAGAGAAGCCCACCCACCACCTCTTCCTAGCCTTGGTGACAGGAGGAGGGGTAGTTCCAGACTATCAACCTGGCTGTCCACCTGTTCCCTGCTTCTTAGGCACACTGACTTCTTCACAGGTAGTTCCAGATAATCTCTCCTCAGTGCTTTCACCACTGTGGCACTGAACTCCTTGGGGGACAAGAAGGGGATGAACTATTAGTATCATTTTCAGACAGACCTGATACAAGAAGACTGATCAGAACAGGCACTAGAGGGCTGGCCACACTCCTGGCACCAGCAGTGCTTTTCCTCTCATCACAGTCATATGAGTTTGTGGTCCTCTCTCTCCATCCCAGGGAGGTGTGTGAATCGCAGACTCCTCTGCAATGGAGACAATGACTGTGGAGACCAATCAGATGAAGCAAACTGTAGGAGGATTTATAAAAAATGTCAACAGGGAATGGAGCAGTACTGGGCGATTGGCAATCTGGCCAGTGGGTGAGTGGCTGCAGTCATGCTGGGTGATTGAGAAGACACTATCTTAAATGGAATTCTGAAGGATGGCATAGAAAGGCTGTGGTGTAAGTAGATGTATTCTCTGAGATCAGTCCCATGTTGTTCCAGAAGCACATGCCATGAAGAGACATGGGTCACAGGAGGGTTGACCTAGGAACACTAAGACTGTTGAAGGGCTGGGATGAGCCTTGCTCTTAACTCTCACAATTTGCTGTGTCAGGGGAATTCTAAGCATGGCTCTTGAACCTTATAGACAGCCTGTGTCATGGGTTTTATCTGGTTTTGTCCCTAGTTCCCACTCTCCACCATGCTGAAAAGAAGGGATTTCTGAGCACTTTGTGAAGCATTGATTTCCAAGATAGGTCTGTTGTCTATGTGTCTGTCAGCTTCTGGAGGGATATAAGTATTAGTCCAGTCTTCTATAAGGTCAAAGGAGTAAGATTGGAAAGTGTCAAACAGGCCTGCATTCATCCTACTTACTTGCCATGCCCCAAAGCATCTAAGCTTGCAGATGGATGAGTGAGAGAATGAATGTCTTTCTGCATGATCTTAAGAATCGCTGTAAATGATGCCACTGGAAAGAAAGGCAGGGAGGGTAAATAGAATTTACCTCCTCCCTAGACACTGGCCTATCTTGACCCTTAAAGGTCATCATTAGAGACAGACTTTTCACTTGGATGGGAGCTCCTCTCAGGGCTGAGATCCTCAAAAGTTAAGTGAGCTCCAGGGGTCACATAGCTAGAAAGAAACAGAAGACATTCAAGGTCAGTAGCAGAGTCCAACCAAGCCAATAGGAGGGATGCTTCCCCTAGAAAGAGCAGAGCACAAAGAACTGGCAGAAGAACAAAGAGCTAGAAACAAGATTATACAGGTGTGTTGGGAGAGATCTTGATGAAAATGCTAAGCTTGTGAGACTAGAGAAATGTCTCAACAGTTAAGGACTCTGGCTGCTCTCCCAAAGGACCTGGGATCAAATCCCAGCACCTACAAGATGACTCCTAACTGAAGGGATTTGATTCCCTCTTGTGACCTCTACACACTGCACCAGGCATGCACATGGTACACAGACATATATGCAGCCAAAACACCCATACATGTAAAATAAAATAACACAGAGTTTTAAAGAAGAGAGTGTTAAGTTGGTATGAACCAGAATGCCAGGGCCTTGCTTGTGGACCAAGAGCTTTGAGTTTCATTCATTGGGAATCTGCTAGCTTCCAACAGAGGTGACCCAACCCCGAATCCTAAGCTTTCCTTCCTGTCTGTGCCTTCCTTCCAGGATAAACCTATTCACAGACACACTCGAGGGCCCAGTTCTCGATCACCGGTATTACGGTGGTGGATGCTCCCCCCACTACATCCTGAACACCAAGTTTAGGAAGCCGTACAACGTGGAAGGCTACACCCCACAGGTAAGGGATAGCCAAGCAGCTGCTGCTGGCAGCGAGGGAATCACTGACTGAGCACTCTGAAGCCTGCTGTCTGTGTAGCTTTTATGTACCCCTTTCTCTTGGAGCCCCAATATCTTCTGGTATCAAGTGTGCGCACCCTTACACAAGACCTTGTGATCACAGTATGCCACGTACAGCAATAGCTGCAGGAGCTGTAATAGCAGTAATGTTGGTATCAAGAGCTATGCTAAAAGCAGAGTTTGGGATGTGGTGCTTGCTATGCAGTCCTAAATGCTCAGTGCCTCTGTTGTCCTATCTTTATACTACAAGTTATAAGCTTCCTCCCTGAAGTGATATGGTCAGTGAGATGATGTGGCTGAGTGGACAGCATTACACCTGCTGCCACAGAGAGTCCTCAGCTCATGTTAACACTTCTTCCCATCACTGCCATGTCCTTGCCTCTTGGGCCAGGCAATGATCTAAGTACTTAAAGTTATAAAATGATGTACTCTTGGGGCCGTAACAATGGCACAGTGATTAAGAGCAATTGCTGCTCTTACAGATGACCCGAGTTCAGTTCCTGGAATCCACATGAGGTGGTTCACAACCATCTGTAACTCCAGTTCCAGAGGATCTGATAGCCTCTTCTGGCCTCTGTGGGCACCTTCATTTACAGATACACATACATACACACACCTTTAAATAATTAAATAAAATGCTGCAACCATATAAATCTGTACTATGTCTCATATATACTCCCAGACACACCAGTCACAAAGTAGAGTGTGGAATGCACCATGTAGATACACTACCAGAACCCTTGTCATCTAATGGGAAGATGTTTTCTTCAGGTCCCTCGTCTGTGAAGTAAGGGGGGGGTTGACTGAGAAATTCATCTAGGTGGTGGTTTTCATGACCAAACATCCATAATTCTGAAGGTTGGGAAACTTCCTATCTCCTCCTCCCCCTTTTTGGTCCTTTTTGTAGCACATACTGGCCATCAAAAGGAAGAAACAGCCTAGGACTAAACAGCCCTTCCATCAAGTTGTCTAGTAAATTCCTTCAAACTTTGCTTTCCAAGGGCACATTTGCAGGAGCCAGATCCCAGCCCAGACATCGAATGCAGCTTTCAGCTTCTCCTCACCTTAGCCAGCATTGAGTGAAAGCTCTCACAGGCTCCTGTGTGAGCCTGGTCCTCAGGACAGGTCTAAGGAGAGGGACAACTGTCATGTCCATTTTATACAGTGCCAGTATTCCAGAAGACCCCCTTTAGGCCATGTCTACATCATCACTGTTCCCTTCCTGTGCTGCGGACTTTTATAGAAATGACAAGTATCCAGATGCCCGTGGGAGTGGAGGTGGAGATAACTGGTCACTCCAGGCCCATTGAGGTACTGACTCTGGCAGTTGCCCTTGCAAGAACAATGAGCACTAATGACTTAGCATACAGTTCTCTTAAGTTCTCTAAGACAAGCGGACAAATCGATTTTCACTCCCCGGCTGCCACCTCAGTCTTACATCATTAGTGCACCACACTCCTCATGGCACCTCCTTGGCTTGTGACTCCACATTTAGATTTGCTCATTCCAGCCTAACCGGCATGCTGTCCCAAAATGACCACCCCACTCCTTCCTCTCTTGGATCATACTTGCAGTAAGCCACAGTTTGGAACAAAAGATTCAAAAGCCTCCATAGTCCAGAAGGTTCTTTTATAACACCTGCTCGTTTCTCTTACTCTCACGCCTTCTGATAAATCTGCACTGGCAACCAGGAACTTGCTGAGACCCTCCCACTTTCATGCACCAATCCACAGCCCTGGACTCCTCCACACCCTGCATTCCTGCCAACTGAAACCCAAGTCAAACTCCAACTTGAGCATGAACTGTAGTATTGAATATGTCTATCTCTCTGGCTGGCGCAGGGGTCCTGAGGTAGGGATGCAAGCTGTCCCTGATAGTTTTGTGTTTCCAGAGTCGCTAGCACACAGTGAATGCCTGATGAAAATTCCAACCAAAGCATATTAAAAAACATATTTTCTTTTCTTCATATAGACCCAAGGCAAATATGAATTTGCACTTAGAGAATATGAATCATATTCAGATTTTGAACGCAATGTGACAGAGAAAACAACCAGCAAGTCTAGTTCCAAGTTTGGTTTTAAAATAATTGGCCTATTTGAGCTTGGATATAAAGAAGACAGCAACAAAGGCAGACATTACATTAGCAGAACCAAACGATTCTCACACACTGTAAGTACCTGTCTGAGCCTTTCATTTGCTTACTTTTAAGCAATGTTTTTATTTCCTCTTTGAGAAGTTCATAAACATATTTTGATCATATTCATTCCCTCTCCCCAACCCCTCCCAGGTCCTCCCCCACACCCCTTCCTACCCAACTTAAAGTTCTCTCTTGCTCTTGAAAAATATCAGTGTATTGCTTTTAAATATATATGTGTTCTTTTATGCTCACAGATGTGTCTGAATTCCACATTATCCCTGGTTCAAGTGAGCAAGAAAGTTTCTGTTGTCCTGCAAATCCTATCATAAATAACATGTTAGTCTCACATTGATTTACTTTTAGGAGACAACAAGGCTAGTAATGTTATTTTCTGTTTTTTGTAAGTCTTTTCCTTTCATTTTTGAATAGCTTAATGTGCAGATTTGCCCCCAATAAAACCCATTTGGAGGTTTTTTAACCCACTGTAATTTGACTTTAGTTTGAGATAAATGTCTGGAAAGTGACCCCACTCTTCTGTGACTTCCTAGATGTCTGGTGGGGTATCCTTACCATTACCCCCTCTTTCTCCTACTTTATTTCTACCTCTTATCAGTTCCCCCACCCGAGCTTACTAGCCCAGGCTGCTCTCTCTGACTTGTGTTCCCCTGATACACAGTCACTTGACTCCTACCTTGCCCCAGAGACATCCTGAATTACTAATCTAATCATTGTCTATTCCTTGGTGACCACAAGGTAAGTCAAAGCCAGTGACTTAGTGGGAAAACAGCAATGGGAGAGGGAAGAGATTGAGGTATTTTGTTAAAGAAACAGGTGATAGGCAGATTTGAGACTGAATTCTGGAATAAAGAAGGTACATATTTTTGACTAGTTACTGAGAATTTGCACTTGGGAGTGATATAATTAGTCTAAAGAGATATGAAAGAAAAGAGAACAAGATCTAGAGTCTACAGTGATTTATATGAAAAAACAAAACACGAGGGGCTCCAAAAGTCCCCACTCCAGATATAGTCAGCAGCAGAAAATGGGTGGTCAGCATTAATTAGTCTGTAGCTGTCTTCCATCTGTTGACTCATCTTATGGGGGACAGATCTGTTTCTTTCTTCTCTAGACAGAGTGGCACATAGTAGGCACTCACCGCTGAGCTGTAGGAATGGAGGACAGAACTGAGCACAGAAATTGACTTTATTATGAGGAAAACAGTGGTACCAACATGCCCTGCCTTCTCCTCATCCTCCCCCATCCTTACCTCACCTTCCTGATTCAAATAGCCAGTTTGGCAATGCTAGCATGTATATAACCTGACATGGGCCTTGGGTCCTAAAATTCTACAAGGCTCTTTTTGTTCAGTTAGATGTATTATCTCAAAAGCAGGTATCTTTATGGGTCACAGAGTGATAATTTGGTCCATGTATGCAAGGTATGGTGACCAAATAAAAGTGATTATCATTTCTGTTTCTTTGATTTGTAAATTTTTTGTTGGGTACCTTCAAACTTTTCTCTTGAAGCTCTTTATAAAATATATAACAAATTGTGCTTGCCTTCATATTCTCAGTCTAGTGGGAGATGTAAGCTTTTATAACAATAAATCACCTAATCATATATATCAGCTGCAATATAGCACAGGGAAGTTATAAAGGAAATATGAGTGATGTGTTCTTCAAGCTTAGAAAAGGCAAGGGTACCTGGGACTTCCAGGGATGGTATAAAACAGGCAAGGGCCAAACAAAGAATTGAAAGACAAGTAAACTCATGTCCAGAAGAAAGGGAAAAACCTAGAAGCAGTGGGAACAATAGCTACACGGACACTTCATACAGGTTTGGGGATCAGTACAGTGTGGCTGATGGAAAATGGACAGACATGGAGAGCAACACTCAATGTCAGGGTGGCTGATAGCAGTCAGAGAACTGGTGGATGGAATGTGAAGGTTATATAGCCAAAGTAAGAGAGTTGATTGTGTCTGAAGGCAACAGTGAACCAATGAACCCATGTTTGTTTATTTTGTTTTGTTTTGTTTTGTTGCCTGGAGGACTATTATCATAATGTTATCAGAGGTTCAGGATCTTGACTCTGACTAGGGCACTGAAAGTAGATTAGCAAGAGAAGGGAGAGCAAAGAGGAAGTTTTATAACAATATGTCAACTGAAATAACAGTCATAAAATACTGTCAGAGAATGCCTTTGTGTATTTGGGAACCACAGAGTATTGCAATGGGAGTGAGCATGTTATTGTAAGCTATATGTGTTCTCAAGGGGATTAAAGCAAGGTAAGTTTTTAAAGGCAAAAATGAGGAGGATTGCAGACAAAAAACCTTTGCCACAGGTTACTAACACCAATCTGAAGCTGGGCAGTACTGGTCAAAGGCTCTTGAAGGCATGTATTTTTGTGGATGGTTTCTGTGGCTGTCTTCCATGGCAGCTCCTATTATTAGACAATACTGAATGAATACCCTTCCTTTATAACTTCCAGGCCTGATGTATTTTTTACTTGCCTTTTGTTGGAGCTGACGGTCAACTCCACTTTGACAACTTTCATAAAGCTGCAGAGAGGAGATAGAGTCTAGGACATTTGGAAAAGGCATGAATCAAGTTCCCAGTGACTGCTTAGGTCATCACAGTGGGAGAAAAGGGTTCTGAACCACTGAACAGGACTAGAATGGGATGACAGCAAGCCAGGTCGGACCAAATTGGAGGTTTTAGTGACAGTGTGTGCAAGGCGGAATAGCTCTTTAGAGCTGAAGGACTTGGTTGGAATAGAGTAACCCCCCACCGTTTCCACCATCCCTGTTTTCCCCCATACAAGGAGCCATCACCTCACATGTGGTGATCCTGAGCTCTCATCTGGTACCACTAGCCTTCAGTCTATGCCATACCTCCAGGAGACACCAGACTTTTCCTGGAAAGGACCAGAGCAAATAATTAAGGCTTTACACAATACACAAAGGTCTCTGTTGTACCTACAAAACTTTTCCACTGCAGTGTGACAGACACTGTAGACAATATGTAAGTGAATGAGAATGGTAGTGTTTGCAAAACAGGCAGTAGAGTGTCCTACAGCCCTGGTTTACTGACACCTGCCACAGTCACCTATTGTTATACTTGGGTGGTTTGGGTTTGTGTTCTCAAATGATGTAAGCAAATGCTTGAGGCTAAGCAAATTCTACCCCCATCTGAGTGGCCTCAAGTGGCCATATTCACTCTTCAGTGCAGGTTTCTGATTCTCCTTCTGTCTTCATTTGCTCCCATGATGAGATGAGATCACTGCTCATCCAAGCCAAACAGGAAGGGATGCTGGATTATTTATGAGAATTGAAATCTTCTCAAAGGGACCCTCTTCCCTTAGATATCCTAAAGGAATCACAAGCATGATGACCCCCCCCCCGGGGCAAGAACAGCGGATGGTATTTGTAAAGTTCATCTTTCCATTCACGATTCCTAACTGTAAAGGTCTGTTTTTCCCATGTTGGTATTTCATCTAGAACAGCAAGTTTCTGCACGCACGCTCTGTCCTTGAAGTGGCCCATTACAAGCTCAAGTCCAGAAACCTCATGCTCCATTATGAATTCCTCCAGAGGGTGAAGAGCCTGCCCCTAGAATACAGCTACGGGGAGTACCGAGATCTCCTTCGTGACTTTGGAACTCACTTTATCACTGAGGCCGTGCTTGGAGGAGTTTACGAGTACACGCTTATTATGAACAAAGACATCATGGAGCGAGGAGGTGCCCTGCCCAAGGGACACACCTGTCCTGGCCAGCACAGGAGGGATAGTGATAAAGTCATAATTAAATGCCTGGGGGAAGAGTCCTGAGCGAGGGCCCTATGTTCTGCCCCTGACCAAGCTGTACCTCTAGAGATGTCTTGGTCTTTATGCTTCTCTCTTTGGCTTAGCATGTCTGTCCTCCCAGTGCAGCCCTCTCTTTGGATGACTCTCTGTTCCATAGCTACCATAGCTTCTATATCCAATCAGATCCAAGCTTAAATACCGAGTCACGTATTCGTCCTTGGTCACTGGATCAATATACCTGGTTTCTTCTGTAGTTTTCACATCTCAGAAATGGTTCCACCATCCAGCCAGAGGTACAAGCCAAAAGCTTTTCAATTCTCCAACAAGTTTTTGCAGATCTACCTCCAAATTTCTTTTTAATTTTTCATGTGTTTATGTATATGCGTGTCTACATTTTTTGCATATGTGGGGGTTTGTTTGTACATAATTACACATGCATATACAGGCCTAAGGTTGATGCCAAGGATAATCCTCTTTTCTTCCACAATAATATTTGAAGCAGAGTCTCTCAGTCAATCCCAGAGCTTGTCGATATGACTAGTCTCCCTAGCCAGCCTGCTGTGGGGATCCCCAGTCTCCATATTTAGGGGTTGCAATTATAGGCAAGGCCACCATGCCCAACTAGCCTTCACATGGGTTTCTGGAGATCCAAATTCTTGTTACTCATTTTGTAAGACAAGCATTCTGCCTGTCCTTTTATTATAAGCCCTAGTCCTTATGTTGGGTTTTACAGTTAATACCATAGGCTCATCCTATGACCACTGGCTTCATTCACACTTGAATTTTAGTGTGAATATGAATTATAGGCAAATATTTGCAGGGATTGATCTGATCCAGTAGGATTGAGGCAAGATGCAAAAGTTCTATCTTTCTACCAACCTTGGAGATGATGCCTGAGGTGCTGGTCCACACATGACACTCATGTCACTTTGGCTAGTGAGGGCTCATATGACTATGGTTCCCACAGATGAATGGTCAAATCCCAATGCTCTTCTCCCTCTCCTCCCATCTTGCCTATAGGCGTTCCAGATCTTTCCAGCTGTCTTCAACTGCCAGTCTAGGCTGCAAACTCTGTTTTCCAATCCAGTATTCTGCCTGAGGATATGGGGCATGGGTTCCATCAGCAGGGCCAGGACCTAGTCAGTTAGAATTCCAATGTGCTTACAAGAGGCCATAGAATTTAAATGCCTGTCTTCAGGACTTGGGTCTACCAAGATCAAAGGTATTGACCTCCAAAAGAGTCATTCCAAAGGTTCTTTCCATGGTTTCTAAAACTGTCCCTCTATAAACAGCCTAGAGAATCATGCAATTCAGAGAAATATACAATTGATGCCACCCTCAGAGTTTCTCCAGAGGACTGGCAAAGAAAGAGAGAGAAAAACCCTGCCATGTTTCATGCACGGTTAGTAAATTTGCATGGCCATAGAGGCTGTTTCTTGTAGCACCCATTATCTCAATGAGATTTGTATTTTTTTAAATATTTTATTTATTATGTATACAACATTCTGCTTCCATGCATATCTGCACACCAGAAAAGGGCACCAGATCTCATAACGAATGGTTGTGAGCCACCATGTGGTTGCTGGGAATTGAACTCAGGATCTCTGAAAGAGCAGTCAGTGCTCTTAACCTCTAAGCTATCTCTCCTGCCCCGAGATTTGTATTTTAATGTTTTGAAATACTCTGGGGAAAACCCTATTCTACATTAATAATGCTGGAAAGCCTAGTAGTCAACAAGCCTCTCTTCCTCAGCCAAATTTAAAACAATTTAGAAAGCTCTTATATGCTATTTTAGCAAACCCCAGAGAGGAAGATACTTTGGGGAGAATGTTAGAATGAGGTAGGAAGGGATCCTCAAATAACGGGTAAATTTGTGATTCACTCCAGGTACTTTCAGACTTACGTATGTATTACTTCAACCAATTAATGTGGACTTTCTCCTTCATTATCAAAGATCAAAGAAATGTAGCCCAGGGTGGGCAGAGGGTGGAGCTGCCTTATAGCCACTGAATCAGTCACTAGGTACCTGTGCTGGTTAGTCTAATGTCAACTGGACACAAGCTAGAGTCATCCGAGAAGAGGGAATGTCACTTAAGAAAATGCCTCTATAAGATCTACCTGGAAGGCATTTTCTTAATTAATGATTGATGGGGGAGGGCCCAGCCCATTATAGGAGGAGCCAGCCCTTAGCTGGTAGTCCTGAATTCTGTAAGAAAACAGGCTGAGCAGGCCATGGGGAGAAAACCAATAAGCAGCACTCCTCCATGGCCTCTGCATCAGTTCCTGCCTCAAGGTTCCTGTCCTGTTTGAGCTCCCATCCTGACTTCCTTTGATGGTTAACTGTGATGTGGGCATGTAAGCTAATTAAACACTTTCCTTGCCAACATGCTTTTGGTCGTGATGTTTCATCACAGTAACAGTAACCCTAACTAAGACAGTACCTGATGAGGAGTCTGGTTTTTAGAGGATAGCTCTGAACACCTGACCTCATTGAAGGCTGCAACTATCCTCAGAGACCAAAGAGGAGGCTAGAGCAGGAACTTGGGACTGAGCTCTGTGGGATCTCTGCCCTGCCCCCTATACTTCTTAGCTCCAGATTGAGGACATGTTTATTTGAACCCAGGACTCTATGACACCAGGAAGGGTTAGGGTTAGAATCAATCATAGGAAAAGGGACAGAGTAAATGACCTAGTAGATCACTGGCATCTTTTCCTTCTTCCTTCAGATTACACTTTTGACAGTGTTTCTTCCTGTATTGAAAAACAATTCAAAGTTGGTGGTGCCGTCTCTAAAGTCTACCTCAAATTTGGCGCGTCAGAAAAGAAATGCAATGATACTCTGAATGAAATCAAAGGTGAGACAGACTCATGTGACTTCTGCGCTTACAGCATTTCTCTCCCTGGAGCCATTGGTCCAGGCTTGCTTTAAGAATGGGATACTCCAAAGCTTTTCAATGAAAACAATAACCAACCTACTTCTGACTGGTGTAATGAAATTACAAAATTGAATAAGGTTGACCTCCCATTTTCATCTGAGCATGTGGGGTAAGTAAAAGGGAAAGGGACCATACTCAGGCTGAAACCTTAAGGCCAAGTTTCCAGAACTGTGAACTATAACCTGAGTATGAGTTCTACAGCATCATAGTGCTAATAGCATCATTCTGCCCTAGAGGCTGAGAGAGATAGAATGCTAGGGGCCAAGGCAAGGTGGCAGAGGCTGGGCCTTACCTGAGACAAGAGAGATTAGGAAATCTGGCACAGTATCAGCCATATGGCAGGAAAAGACAGGCTTGAGTTGGAGGTAAATCCAGCCTGGATGGGGAGCCATGTCTAGGAGCAGATCCCTGTATGCAGTATGGGGAGTTGAGAAGCTAGCACATGTAGAGTAGGAATGAGGGTGGACGACAGTGTTCTGATCCTAGCTCTCCTGCTTCCTCCCAGTTGTCTTTGTACTGTGCTGCCTGCCATGTGGTGAATCCCACAGTAGACACAGTATACAGAAAAGCACAAACACAGGAATTAGCTGCTAGCCTAGAGCAGCCACTTACACTTGAGACTGAGTTGCTGATGAAAGACCCCTGCCCCTTAGCTCTTAAGTTTGCCTCCTCCTCCGGTCGGCAGCTGATGGGGCGAGCGGCGGATGCCTCGCTCCTGTGCCTCCCCAATCCCCCCCCCCGCCGGCCTCCACTTCCCCCGCCGCCACACGATGGGCCTGCACGAGGGTGAGCACCAGGTGGGCCAGCACGAGGGCGAACACCAAGTGAGCCTGCCCGGGGCCCCGCCCCCGCGCCCCCGCCCGATGGGGAACACTCCGTCC